ATAACCCATGTAAAACCACCCATTGACCGTCCTCAAAGACGGACGTCACCGGTTGAACACTCGTGATAATTCCTTGTGTGTTCGTTTTTGAGTTTCCCCGTGGAGGCCTCGCTCACGCCCCTTGCCTCAGATCCCGAACTCGACCGGTTAGTGTCTGGTTTGCACCCACACTCATCTCCTTGAGAGGCATGGGGCTTGTAGACCATCCCACCCACACCGGCATGCTAGATGCCACCGCTTTTTTGGCTGGCCACCGCAATATTGTTTGCCCGCCGCAACTCTTTTGCGGTCACCACCTATTGTGCCGTCAGGCACCTTTTTTGGGGCCCAGATACATTTTTGCCGGGCCGATGCTTTCACTGCTTTTGCAAGATATTTTAGACAGCTGAGTGCTTGCTCCCCTCCAACACGTGTATGGAGGATCTCCCTGCAAATAAGCTTTCTGTAACATTTACAAGAGGCATAAAAGAGGCCTCTCCATAAGGCAAAGAACGGAAAGCTTTATGACATTTTTGGGGGAGAAAATTAACTATGACAAAGCCTGGTTTCTAGGTAGGGTTAATATACCACTCCCTATCTCTCTCCCCTCTCATTGTACACTAATTTGTCCACATTGCAACACAAACACCTATTTTCCATACCTTCCCTTGGAGCTGATCTAAAAGTGTGTTTGAAGTGGTGTTGGATCAAAGCTCAAGGAGGCCATGAGCAACCATTGTGAAGTCTCAAGGGGAATCATAGTCCCCTTTTCCCCCCATTTGGCATGATTTTCTACTAGTAAAAGGGTTTGGTGATTATGTTAAACATAAAAAATTCTATTTTTAGGCCCTCTTATGTTTATTAAGATTTTTGTCATTTGAGGTTGACCACCCTTAGGCCTCAAAACTCGCCTCATTTGACACATTTTGTGGGGCACTCCGGGATTGTGGTTGAGTCTCTTTCACCACTGAATATGAGGAATTTCATGTGAAGAAACCTTTGAAAGTCCTAAAAGGACAGGCCACCCCCTCTCCTTTGTCCTGAAAAGGCAATTTGCCCTTAAGAAGCCTAATGCTGGAGTTGTGTTGCAAATTGTTGTTTTTCATAGCTTCCTATATTCCATAATATAACATATCATTGGTTTGAACCCATCAGTTTAGCATAGTTGCCATAAAATGCCCTTATTTATGCCTTAAAATATGCCTATTGTTAGACTTTTGGGGAGCATGTTTTCAGGCTTGTATTTAAGATTATGTCCTTTGCCAGTTTAGATCCTTCCATAAGTGTTGGGTAATTTAGGCATGCCATTATATACTCCTTGTATTAGGCTTGTTGTCCTATATTGCATTTAGAAGCCACTTTGGGGCATTGTTTTGGTGATTTGGGGGTCCACTTATATGTTTATTTTCAGTCCCATTCCAGCTGCCTTATTGGCCTCAGCATCTTTAATGCCCTCATAACATGGCTTTGCGTGCCCATGTTATGCCTTTTTGCATGCTTGGAATTGGAGCCCTTAACCAATCTAAGGATCCTTGGCCTATGTTGTTGATACCTGCTAAAAAATCTGTTTTTTAGTTGTTTAATGCATGCCATATTTGGCATGTTAAGTGTAGTTCAAATGCCTTATTATTTCTTGAACACTTGACTATGTTGCATGTTTGGCTGATTGTTGCTTGTTGGCACCATCCTAACTGATTCAATGCCTTATTTGCATGCTAATATCCATGATTCCTCTTCAACGTGTGCTGAATTTTTTGATTGCTTAAGCGTTGGTCCTTAGTCATGTGTGGTTAGCCATTAGCCCTCCACATCTTAAGCACTTATGGGCCACTTTTAAGGCCTTAATGAGCTGCCCTAATCATGTATAATCCATCTTTCCATTTATTCATGGGGCCAATTGTATGTCTTTTATCCTGCAAAGTGCCTTGCATGCCATTGCATCCCTAGCTGATCCTAGGTTGCATGCTCATCTGCCATCAGCCTTTCCTTGAAACGGTGAATAAGAATAAGCCTAATGTTTGATTGGGTTGCCATGATGAAACAAAGTGCAAACTGTTCCGTGGCCATCATGCATGAAAATAGCGTGATTGGGTGTCCCGAAACCAGGCACATCCCTTTTTACATCACATGTAAGACATTGGTGCAATACATGCCTGAATTGTCTGCCACCTTGGTTGCCCTCTGTCCTGGTAGTGCGAGCCAGCATATCTTCTTTGCCGACCGGCAAGAGGTCCGGCCGGCAACCTTTTCCTGCCGACAGACCTATTGTGCCGATGCATACACAGCTCCGGGAAATTTCGGATCATCCGGTGTGATCCTCTCTCCAAGGACATCCTGACTTGACCAAGCCTCCAAAAGGAAAGGAAGAACAGAGGCAGCTTGGCGCATGGTGCGCGCTTTCCCGAGGCGTTTTCCTGCTTTAATTGATTTTTTAATTTAATTAAAATTATAATTTGTAATATTAAATTAGCTGGTGTAGTTAATAATTTAATATTTATTCGGTGCCCTCCGAGTGAGGTAAATCTGTAATAAGTGTGTGGTGTGATTCTTCCAACCCACCTTCTTCTTCCCTTTATTACCTGCTTATATGGAAATTAGGCACATTAATTTCAGCATACCTTAGCTTTCATGCGTCATCCATGCATTTGTATTACATCATTAGGCTCGTACATCTCTCACCGCATAACGTATTTCAAATCAAAAATTGATATGTGAAATTGCATTTCACATGACAATTCCAGATAGCCGACCTATCTTAGCGACATTTTGTATCACGCAGGTAGGCAACTTAACATGGACTTGGGGATTCATGCATATTGCTACAATTCCTTTGTTGGCCGGAGTACTATGTAAGTATTTCCGCTAGCAACCACATGATGTTAATATCCCAATGACAACCATGCTTAACATGTGCTAAATGCTTTATTGTTATAAACTATGTGAATCCTTGGTGAAGTTGATTGTTTAGTTGAAAACTCATTAAAATCCATGTTTAGCCTACTGCGAGTAGCAATCCAACACGCATTTCAACGAACGAACAATCATTCCAAAATAGCAATCTAAAGTCCGAAACTTGTTCGTGCGCATAAACATATAAATCTAGCGTAATAAATATGAATAAAACAACATAAAGTTTTCAAAAATACGTATATCACGGTATAAGCCCGGGTCCTTCGGACCGGCCGAAAGGGTGCTCATAGCGACCTTCCCCGATCCAGTACCCATCTCCCGACCGAGACACACTCCGTAGACGGACTGTGCCTCGCACGGATCCGGTTCCTAAATCCCATTTAAAATATTAAGGTGGCGAACTCACGCAAAAAGTCCATTTGCACACTTTTTCAAAAAATCTGTTTCTCAAAACGATTTTGCCATTTTGGACCTTGGTTCAATTAAAACTTGACACAATCGATCCGAACTGGTAGTACCCCAAATAACAGAATAGGACTCATCCCGGGCTTCGGCTTGTTACAGTTCGCGCATGGCGGGAATTTTTTAGACGATTTACTCGAACTCGTGATACCGTTTGATCTCATTTATTGTTTTGATGCATGGTCATGGCGCCTAGGAACACATGTTGCCATCCTGCCATCCTGAAACGTCCGGAGCTGTCGTGTCAAGCATGTCCATATAAGGCACCGGGCTATGGCTCACAAGATGGTAACACAAAACCCGTTTTTACCGGGGCATCCCTTTACCATTCACCTAAGCATATTCGACCATAGTGACCACCAAACCAAGAAACATGTTACTTACCCATATAGGTTTTTAAACGCTGTGCAGTGAAAACCCTAGCTCCTGCAAAAATAGGACAGGGAAACCCCACCCCAACATAGGTGATTGACTCTCTTACTTGCTATTGCCTTTAGATGTAACTCAACAGGAAACGCATATACAGTGCGATGAGTAACGGCAAAGGCGCCAAGAGACAGTATTGTGAGAATCAGTACAAAATCCGTTATCCGCGTATCAGATTCAGTATTTTGGAACAAAATCTGGGAACAGTGATCAAACATAGTCAACAGTTGGTGGCAGCACCCGTGTTGATCAGTGGCTGAAAGCTGTCTTTTTTCCTTTCATCCAGAAGTGCAGATTAGACAGAACACCAGGTCTCCCCTTCTGAGGCAATTATGGCGCAACAAAGTCAGAAAAATTTGATGGCAGCTGTATCGGAACAGGAACCACTCCTAAAGGACCAGCATCATATTCATATTCCGCCCATCCGCCCGTTGCACAACCGTCGGCTCCCCAGTTATACCGGCTCGTGAGCCCACCACCTTGAATGATGGATAAAGGCGATCTCCAAAGTCTGTGGTAAGACTCCCTAGGAAGTCGCTTCACTGCCACGCCGCCGTATGCCGGGAAAATTTGTACCTACAACCCCCCTACGGGCGTATATAAGAGCTCAGCCAACCAAGGTGCTTCGCTATAGCCAACGACACATCCAACGTCAACCCCGACCCCTCGAATCAGGCTGAGCCAGAGGAAAAGACAAGGCAAAATAGAATGCCGGGGGACCCCATTGAGCACTGCTGTGGCAGTCGAAGCTCGAGCCAGAGGTATACCAAGCACAACGTCGCAATATACCAAAGCTGGGATGATGCTTTCCCCACTCTCCGATCAAAGGCATTCAGCCAGGCCGAAAACCGTGATGGCCCCCTCATCCCAGAACATCCTAGTTCCCAACCCTCACCGAAGTTCAAAAGCCAGCACGCCCCGCATCCTTCCACAGCGGCATCTGGAAGAATTCCTCAAAACCAAAGTACCTGCCCCGAGGCGCAGAGTCTTCTACTGATCTCCACATCCTTTGTCTAGGGCATTGTTAATAAGGCCAAAGAACGGCATCTAACCTTTGGAAAGCCCGCCACTCCCGAAGAATCTCCCCACCACTCCATAATGCACCTTGCACTGCCAACCATCAACAGTCCGCACAGTACCTGATATTCCCGCCTTCCATAATCGATGAATTGATAACAAGTTTAATCCTACCGCCTACCTCAGCAAGCCCGGTCACCACTCATTGTTGGATTCAAGGGCTCAGATAACCGATAAATTAAACGAACCGCCTGCGGCACATTTGGTTATTGGATTGAAGAGTCCTGGCACGCATTTTTGACCATCGGTGAACCGAGTTTGTGTAATCTTGGCTTGAGGTCGAGTATCTTTTGTTTTGGAGCTTCCTATCTTTGTCTTGATCATCTTTTGCTCAGGTCTTCTGTTGATCGAGCAGTCCCCGATTGTAAAATAAACCTGTATTCTGTGTTGTCCTAACACCGTTTGTTTGTAATATCTTGTTTTTGTTTTTGATCTGTTCTCCGCCGAGGGGCCATTGCAACCAACGGAGCCGATTGAACAACTTGCTTTTGCTATCTTCAACTTCCATCTTGCTTCAAGCATAAGTGCAGAAATGATTGGTCGACAGTACATCTCGCCTCTCTCTGCGCGCCAAACTCATGGCATTAACCTAATTCCAAAAACACCACTTTTGCAACACTGCGGGATTAAAACAAGAGAAGGAATTCTCGGTTTTGTAAAATTTGATCATTTGAGAGACAAGAACGCTGCTAAGCCTTATGAAAAAGCAGCTTGTCGCGTGATACTGAAAGAAACCCTGGCCTGATCCAATGTTCCACACTATCTTCAGCGCGAGCGATTCTCGTTCCTAAAAAACTATCACAAGCAAATTTTTACGCGGCCACGCAAGACACTGTGTGAATCGCTCTTGGAGATCGCGCACCAGATCCTCTCAACCTCAAGATTAACCTATTGTTTCCGACTTGAACCCGTCGAACATTCCAGAAATTCAATCACATAACCCATGAAGGCCCGTGTGGCCAAGTTTGAAGTAGCCTTCCGATCAAGAACACCAAAACCGAATCGAAGGATAGATCCTGGCCGAAAAAGCTCGTAGAGTACCCTGATGATTCCCTCCGCAAAATCATGCAAACAGCCGTCTCCTAGACACAGAAGGCCTTCAATTCAAAAAACCATTTGCACTGATGCTCCTACAACTTGTTTACCCTTTGAAGGCCTCGCTGGGCCCGAAAACCCCAAGGCGTCCGGCAAAAGTTAAACAGAACCGCAAAATTCAAAAAAGAGAAACATTACAAAAAGAACAGATGAAAAGAAAAAAAAAGAAAAAAAAGCAAGAAAAGAAAAAAAAGAAAAGAAAAAAGAAACGAATAAAAAAATGAAAGAAGCGCAGGTCGAAAAACCCCCACGCCCTTAGCAAAAAGTAAGCTAAAAAAAGTGAAGGTAAAAATACCCGAGTGGACCTTAACCCGGAACTACGTAAGGCTTGATTCCCATTTTTGGACACGTAGGCAACTTCATCAATGAAGTCCAGCCCCCAACGCTTCAAGCGTCTCAGTCCATGCAAATGGTTCGGATCTCATACCCCAAAATCCAGTGCCAACACCCCTCAAGGTGATGTTCCATATAGTTTTACCGTCTTCGTCATCCGCTGTGTCCAAAGAACTCGACCATCGCCATGAAACTTCATGCATGCTGCGCACCATCCAAACAAGGGCAACTTTCCGGTTGCCACACCTCGTGAGACGCCAATCAAAACTAGGCAACTTCCGTTGCCTCCCACCCCCTTCAAACAATGGCAATTTTCCATCCTCCGACACGAGGTTGCGCGCTTGAAGATAAGGTTCCATGCGTGAGCACAGCCTGTTTGAAAAAATAGTTTTGAAAATTTTACGAGGTTGACTATTTCTCGAAAAACATCCATTTCCAAAACTGACCATTACTTGACCCAAAACAGGGAAAAATTTCATTGCTTGCTGCCTGACTGCAAACGGTTTCAAAGTCAATAATCGAACAATAACGTTAATCCAACCCATTTGATCAAAAAACTTTTAGTAGAAAGCAAAAACAAAAAACGTTAAAATAATGAACTAGGGGCACAATTACCAGCGTTCTCTTCCCCCCTCATGACGTACTTGCACAGAAGGGTCTCTCCCGCCGGAAAGAAATACGTAGCTAAACGCCATTCAAGCGGGAACCCGCAACTTCCTATTCATGCCATTAATCACCCCCGGAGGATGCAAAAATGAGAAATGAAGAAATAAGAGGTGGTAGTTGAGAGAAAAGCGAGAAAAGGGTTTGAGAGAAAACCAGCTTGAACGAGTGATGAGGATCACCAAATGAAGAAGGTGACAACAATACCCAGATGGAACTGGGCCCCGTGTCCGAGGTCTCCCATCTTCTTTACCCCGCCGTGTTCTGTCTCTTTCATTGCATCTCGTCTTTGTTTTGATCTCCCCAGACGTGCCTCGTGGTTAGGTCTGTACCTCTTTGTTTGAGTCCTCCCCTGCTGTGTCATGTGCTCAACTACCCGGTGAACAAACCCCTCATACGATTTCAAAAATCGCTATGCCCAAATGCTTGCCATCCTACATTGGAACGTGCCGACCCAACCGTTCCATCTTGAGGTCCGCCTGTTAGATTGGCCTTTTAGAATTGTCTGCCAGAATAATCGAATTTGGTTGGACCTGTGCAAATTAATCCACAGTAGAGCAAGTGTGTGTGCTAAACAAGCAGTGGGTGCTGGTAATTTTTGCGTGGCGTTTATTATCTGATTATTACAGTGCAACTGTTAAATTTCAAACAACCATCAATTCCATTTACATGAGTGACATGATAGATCGATCAATCATGAAGAATTTATAAATGTAACACTTTTCAGATAAAAATTCCGTTTCCATTCATATCTTTCAAATGACAAGTGGAACAAAAAACTGCCTGCCGCATAATCAGATAATCATCTACCAACCAAAAAAAAGTAAAAAAAGAAAGAAAATAGCAAAAATCTGCATCGTTAAAACTCCGAAAGGCCCATCTGTCCGGTCCTCCTCCGTACGAGGTCCAGGACATCAAATCAGCTCGCAATCAGAGCCTGACTAGAACCCTGTCTCGGTCTCTCCTCCATAACCCGGCCTCCGCCTCTGACCCCGTCGTCTCATGCGGGTCCGGACCTGAGCCCGCGAACTACCCCCGAGACGTAGTACGTCCCTCCCCTGGTCAACTGGAAATACCGTCCCCTCATCTCTCCCCCGGGCAAGACAGCAGGTCTAGCTGACAACCTCCACGCCATGGGAATCTGAAAGGAGGCTTAAAAGGAGTACAACAAAAGGAAAGCATCAGTAGCCGTGAGCAGTTATCATGCAGAATGCAGTGTAATCATGTAAATGATGTCGGAGCAGTTTATCAGTGCATGAACAATTTGGTGAAGTACAAGTGTATGAAATGTCGTGAGCAATTTACATCAGTACATAGATTTGGCACGAAATGCAGCTATGCACGTTCAGATACTGAGATCAAATGTATCAGTGTGTGCCGTGCCTCAGATTATGTAAAGCAGTACATATGGTTAAGGCCAGGTTCAGAAACATAACTTAATCTAGACGGCTAGAGGTCAAATCCGCTGAGCACCCCATCATCGAGGCATTCCTCGCCAACGACGACGTGTACTCAAAAACGCCTGCAAAAGTATCAGATCATCAATATTCTGTGGAATATCAAGTAAACTAATAATAACTTACGAAGGCAGTGGATATCATACTGCGGTTAAGTCTGGGAATTCAATGAAACTCATACCAGCCGGTGAGGGCGAAGGGGATCTGATAGGGTGACCCACCCTGCCCCGAAAGTCATACAGCGCAGGGCAGCCAGCCACTCCTCGTCCTCCCCGCACTCCCCCCACCACGGACCCGGCACCTCCTCGAAATTCACCTCCTGTTGCCCTCCGGCCCCAGCCCCAGCCACAGCCTGCCCCTCCTGCTCGACACCGCTCCAGGGCCATCAGTGTACTCCGCACGTACCCTATAGTCGCCGGGGCCGTCGGAAGTCCGCCTCCTCCCAGCCGTGAGTAAATCATCCACTGTCAGCGAAGCCCCTCAGTCTCCCTCATCCATGCAGGGAGTGAGCCGGACTATTGCTCACGTAACCTCCAGTCTGGGTATAAAACGCTCCCCCAGGTACCAAGCCC